GTACCTGCACAGGGAGGGAACATGCTCAATGATTGGATACTCTTTCCTCTTCTACCATGGTAAAGTTATAAAAAAAAAAATTAAACATTAGGACCCTTTTTTACGTCAGTGGTCAATCGTGCATATTATTCTCATTTGTTTACAGATGGCCTAGAACTTGATAGGTGTTGTGGTGCTGCCGCCTTTACTTCCCAGAAAATTAGTTGATACCCATATTAATCTTGGTCGAATTAGGAGCAAAGATCAATTTAAAAAATGGTGCGGCTCAATGCAGATTCGAACCCAAGAACAGCTGGTCCTCAGGTGAGCGTTTAGTCACTAATCAGCCACGACAGCCATTCTAGCCTTAAGTGTCAAGGAACTGAAGTTTCATATTTAGTGTTTTCTCTTGACAGGTTGACGTTGAGGGTGTCATATGATGATGTTTAGTGTTTTCTCTTGTATCCATGAATGTTGAGGATGTCGTATAGTGATGTTTAGTGTTTTCTCTTGTATCCATGAATGTTGAGGATGTCGTATAGTGATGTTTAGTGTTTTCTCTTGTATCCATGAATGTTGAGGATGTCGTATAGTGATGTTTAGTGTTTTCTCTTGTATCCATGAATGTTGAGGATGTCGTATAGTGATGTTTAGTGTTTTCTCTTGTATCCATGAATGTTGAGGATGTCGTATAGTGATGTTTAGTGTTTTCTCTTGTACCTCTGGATGTTGAGGATGTCGTATAGTGATGTTTAGTGTTTTCTCTTGTACCTCTGGATGTTGAGGATGTCGTATAGTGATGTTTAGTGTTTTCTCTTGTATCCATGAATGTTGAGGATATCGTATAGTGATGTTTAGTATTTTCTCTTGTACCTCTGGATGTTGAGGATGTCGTATAGTGATGTTTAGTGTTTTCTCTTGTATCCATGAATGTTGAGGATGTCGTATAGTGATGTTTAGTGTGTTCTCTTGTATCCATGAATGTTGAGGATGTCGTATAGTGATGTTTAGTGTTTTCTTTTGTACCCCTGGATGTTGAGGATGTCGTATAATGATGTTTAGTGTTTTCTCTTGTACCTCTGGATGTTGAAGATGTCGTATAGTGATGTTTAGTGTGTTCTCTTGTATCCATGAATGTTGAGGATGTCGTATAGTGATGTTTAGTGTTTTCTTTTGTACCCCTGGATGTTGAGGATGTCGTATAATGATGTTTAGTGTTTTCTCTTGTACCTCTGGATGTTGAAGATGTCGTATAGTGATGTTTAGTGTTTTCTTTTGTATCTATGAATGTTGAGGATGTCGTATAGTGATGTTTAGTGTTTTCTCTTGTACCCCTGGATGTTGAGGATGTCGTATAGTGATGTTTAGTGTTTTCTTTTGTATCCATGAATTTTGAGGGTGTCGTATAGTAATGTTTAGTGTTTTCTCTTGTATCCATGGATGTTGAGGATGTCGTATAGTGATGTTTAGTGTTTTTTCTTGTATCCATGGTTGTTGAGGATGTCGTATAGTGATGTTTAGTGTTTTCTCTTGTATCTGTGAATGTTGAGGATGTCGTATAGTGATGTTTAGTGTTTTGTCTTGTACCTGTTGGATTTTGAGGGTGTCGTATAGTGATGTTATGTGTTTTGTCTTGTACCTGTGGATGTTAAGGATGTCGTATAGTGATGTTTGGTGTTTTCTCTTGTATCCATGGATGTTGAGGGTGTCGTATAGTAATGTTTAGTGTGTTCTCTGGTACCTGTGAATGTTGAGGGTGTCGTATTGTAATATTTAGTGTTTTCTCTTGTATCCATGAATGTTGAGGATGTCGTATAGTGATGTTTAGTGTTTTCTCTTATATCTAGGGTTGTTAAGAGTGTCGTATAGTGATGTTTAGTGTTTTCTCTTATATCTAGGGTTGTTAAGAGTGTCGTATAGTGATGTTTATTGTTTTTTCTTGTATCCAAGATGTTGAGGGTGTCGTATAGTGATGTTTGGTGTTTTCTCTTGTATCCATTGATTTTGAGGGTGTCTTATAGTGATGTTTAGTGTTTTCTCTTGTATCCACGGATGTTAAGGTCTGTGTATTATTTTTTTAATGTTTCCTTTTCTAGCCTTGGTTGTTAAGGTGTTCTACCGACACCCCAATTCTCTCAAACCTGCTTGTACCATCTTTGTTTTCTTCCTTCCTGCCTTATATGCATCTATCCTATATTCAGTTCTTATTTTTTGTTTTCTTCCATTTTTTGAAGTCCTTAAACTACTATAGATACATAAGTTCATCTTTTTGTTTCCAATTTGTTTCTGTTTTCTTGCATTTCTTTTTGTCTTTCTTCTTACATCCATCCTTACATCCTTACATTTGCTTTAATTCTTTCTGGTTTTCTTTCTTCTATGAAACAAATGTTCTTCTTATTTTTATTGTAATCCTTTCTTAGCGTCTTTTCCTAATCCTTCTTGTTTTTCATTTATACATCAGATCGCCCATTCTGTCATATAATCCTTCTTTCTATTCTCTTTCATTCCTTCTCGTCTTGCTTCTTTTATCTAATCATCCATCTACCCTTAATTAAATTTACGTTTTTCCGTTTTCTTCCTTCCGTCAAGTCTCCATTCATCCATCAATACACACATCATTACTGCAAAACATTTCAGTCTATTTTTACCAGCTTCTTCCTTTCTCCCTTCATGTTTTTTTTATCCATAAACCCATCAACATTCCATTCCTATTCGTGAACTTTAATCCCTGCTCTTCTGTTGCTTATCTTGAAATCTTTTTTTCACGGCAGCCAATCAAACAGAGCAGTGTTATTTGTGTCTTCATGGCTGACACTGACAAAGATGAAACACTGTTTTTACAGCAGGGGTGCTAACAAAAAAAAAAAAAAAATCAGAAAACGTTTGGTAGAAAAACGGGGTGGGGGTGGGGGTGGGGTTGGGGTGGGGGTGGGGCTGGGGGGGGGGGGGGGGGGGGGGGGTAATCAGAAGACCTCAGCCCTTCTCCCCCTTGCACGTGTTCTCAACAAGGGGAAGGCAGGAGGGGCGCAAATGACCTTAACCTTGTTTAAGCTCTGCTTAAAAAAATAATAATATTAGTAACAATAATAACATAAATAATGTTCTAAACAGCAAGTAATTGAAATTAAACGATATATCATATATATATATATATATATATATATATATATATATATATATATATATATATATATATATATATATATATATATATGTATGTATGTGAGTGTGTGTGTGTATGTTGTGTGTGTATAAGTGTGTGTATATGTGTGTGTGTATATGTGTGTGTGTATATGTGTTTGTGTGTGTGTGTGTGTATATGTGTGTGTATATGTGTGTGTATATGTGTTTGTGTGTGTGTATATGTGTGTATATGTGTATGTGTGTGTATGTGTGTGTGTGTATGTGTGTGTGTATGTTTGTGTATATGTGTGTGTATATGTGTGTGTATGTGTGTATGTTTGTGTATATGTGTGTGTGTATGTGTGTGTGTGTGTGTATGTTTGTGTATATGTGTGTGTATGTGTGTATGTTTGTGTATATGTGTGTGTGTGTATGTGTGTATAAACAATTTCTGAAGAAAACTTCTATGGGGATGGAGGGGGCAGCTCCATTTTTAAAAAAAATTGGGACTTTAAGGGGGCACTTAATGCAAGTACGCCCCCTCCCTCCAGCCCCCTCCCAACTTTAAGGGGGCACTCAATGCAAGTACGCCCCCCTCCCTCCAGCCCCCCTCCCAACTTTAAGGGGGCACTCAATGCAAGTACGCCCCTCCCTCCAGCCCCCCTCCCAACTTGAAGGGGGCACTCAATGCAAGTACGCCCCCCTCCCTCCAGCCCCTCACTCCAGCCCCTTCCCTCCAGCCCCCTCCCTCCAGCCCCCTCCCATCTTTAAGGGGGCACTCAGTGCAAGTACGCCCCCTCCCTCCAGCCCCTCCCTCTAGCCCCCTTCCTCCAGCCCCCTCATTCCAGCCCCCTCCCTCCAGCCCCCTCCCTCCAGCCCCCTCCCAACTTTAAGGGGGCACTCAATGCAAGTACACCCCTCCCTCCAGCCCCCCTCCCAACTTTAAGGGGGAACTCAATGCAAGTACGCCCCCCTCCCTCCAGCCCCCTCCCAACTTGAAGGGGGCACTCAATGCAAGTACGCCCCCTCCCTCCAGCCCCCTCACTCCAGCCCCCTCCCTCCAGCCCCCTTTCCCTCCAGCCCCCTCCCAACTTTAAGGGGGCACTCAATGCAAGTACACCCCCCTCCCTCCAGCCCCCTCCCAACTTTAAGGGGGCACTCATGCAAGTACGCCCCCTCCCTCCAGCCCCCCTTCCAACTTTAAGGGGGCACTCAATGTAAGTACGCCCCCCTCCCTCCAGCCCCCTCACTCCAGCCCCCTCCCTCCAGCCCCCTCCCATTTTTAAGGGGGCACTCAATGCAAGTACGCACCCTCCCTCCAGCCCCCTCCCTCTAGCCCCCTACCTCCAGCCCCCTCCCTCCAGCTCCCTCCCCCCAGCCCCCTGCCTCCAGCCCCCTCCCATCTTTAAGGGGGCACTCAATGCAAGTACGCCCCCCTCCCTCCAGCCCCCCTCCCAACTTTAAGGGGCACTCAATGCAAGTACGCCCCCTCCCTCCAGCCCCCTCCCAACTTTAAGGGGGCACTCAATGCAAGTACGCCCCCTCCCTCCAGCCCCCTCACTCCAGCCCCCTCCCTCCCAGCCCCCTCCCTCCAGCCCCCCTCCCATCTTTAAGGGGGTACTCAATGCAAGTACGCCCCCTCCCTCCAGCCCCCTCCCAACTTTTAGGGGGACACTCAATGCAAAGTACGCCCCCTCCCTCCAGCCCCCTCCCTCCAGCCCCCTCCCAACTTTAAGGGGGCACTCAATGTAAGTACGCCCCCCTCCCTCCAGCCCCTCCCTCTAGCCACCTCCCTCCAGCCCCTCCCCTCCAGCCCCCTCCCTCCAGCCCCCTCCCTCCAGCCCCCTTCCTCCAGCCCCTCTCAACTTTAAGGGGGCACTCAATGCAAGTACGCCCCC